TTGCACTCTCACACCAGGACATCCTTGGCTTGAAGAAAGAAATCAGACTGTGTAGAATTCCCCGATGAAATAAAATGTCAGTGGTGAGATCTTCCTATCTCCTCCTATGTCTGTCAAAACAATTCCTGACAATTATAGATTTTTCCATGTTACTTTTCATCAATCACATCTCATGTCTCCCAAGAAGCATATTTTCCCATGCCTAACTTTTTGTCAGAGGTCATTAAATAATACAAAACTCATAGTATCAGGTTGTTTAAAAAGCAGCCATTTGTTGCAGAAGGATGTAAGTTTCACATCTGGTGAAAGTTTGTGTTCATAAACCTATGTCCAATAATAGATCAGTTTCCATTCTTGTCAGCAGCTTTTGGAACGTAAAGGGATCTTTCCTAATTGCAGAGTGTGCTGGAAGCTCACAAAAGTGTGAGAAGGAAGACATACTTTCTGTGCTACATTCTCAGAGATAGGCTTGCTGTGTTGATTTAGAATGGCCTGAGCTTTTGGTTGCAAAGGGGAGGGCCACAGGAATAAGCTACCCCTTCTGTGAGATGCTGCCAGTCCAGTTAGGGAAGGTCACAATGCTTCTGTGATGACACATTTAAGAAGAAGATCAAAACAGTTCAGGCACAATTTTTCCCCAGGAGTGGGGAACTGCCGCAGTGACTGAGGCTGCTGCCATGCTGGTGCAGCCCACACCAAGCTCTGCCTTCCTGGCTACCCCTAGCTAAGCATGCTGCAGGCAAAAGGCAAGGGTGGTGGTGGCTTCCCCTTCCCCACTTGAGTGGTGCCCCATATGAGGACAGTGTTAAACCGTGCCACACCAGGGTGGCAGCTACTGCCCTAGCCATGGGTTGGGGGCCACCTGGCCAGCATCAAAAGCATGATGAGTGACTCCCCGACACAGAACCTAGACAAGATCAACTTCTCAGTGCTGCAGGATCTTGAAATAATATTTGGATTAGTAGAACTTGTTGACAGTGGCACCTACTGTCAGCTACTGGTAATAATTTTCTTCTAGTCAGAGAAGAGGAGGAAGTGAGGATGTGTGAGAGAAAACAACTTGGAAGAACCAAGGTCTGTGGAAAGGAAAGGGAGAGGACATGCTCCAAGCATTGGACTTGAGATTCCTCTGCTAGCTGGGGTGAGGACTGTGGTGACAAAAATTGTCCCCTTGTAATGCATGAAGTCTATGGGGGAACATAAAGATCCACTTGTAGCTTATGGGAAATGTGCTCATCCCAGAGTGGGGAGATAGCGATGACAGCTGTGATCTCTGGAAGACCTGAGTGGAGAGATAGGGCATCTGCTTCCAGAGATAAAGAGATAGCCCTTGCTTCCAAACTAGAGCAGCCTATCCTTAAAAGATTACAAGCTGTGGACAAGCAACTCATGCCACAGCAATTTTGGGAAGACTGTTTGCCCATGGGAGGGACCCCATGGCATAGCAGAGGAAAGACTCTTCTCCCTGAGTGAACAGGGTCTTGAGTGATGAACTGACTAAAACCCCCACTCCCTGTTCCCCTGCACTGACAATGGGAAGGAGGGAGGGGCTGGTGGGAGAAAAGGTGTTTTAAGGGTTTATTTTACTTCTCATTATCCTCCTCTGGCTCTATTAGTAATAAATTTATTTTATACCTTTAAATTTGAACCGGTTTTGCCCTTAGAGTGCTTTTCCCCCCTCCCAATCCTTATCTCAACTCATGTGCCCTTTGTTAAAATTTTTCCCTCTCCTCTGCCCAACTGTGGCAGGAGAGGGTAAACAAACCACTTTCATATATGCCTGGCATTTGGCTAATATCAAATCACGACACTTGCAAAAACAGAAGATATACAAGTTATATACCCTACATAATTTGTACTTTAACTTCCCCACATTTGTTTACATTTTTCTTAACAGTTTCTAGAAGAGTGCATTCAATGTAATTAAATAATTTTCTCGCAGTTATGGCTCTTTTTGAAAGACCTGGTCTTTCAAAACATCAGAGTACGTACTAAATATTCCACGGAAGTTAGACTAAGAGCCCTTTCCAAAAATGGGGAAGCCACAACAAGAGCTATAGATCAGCTTAAACATATGCCAGTGGGATTCACAAACCAGTTTTATTTTTGTTGCTTGTCTCATGGTTTAAAATATGACACCTAGTGCTTATAAAATATATATGTGTTGTCTGGATATTTTTCTGGGACTTTGTTTTGTATTTCTCAATGTCTGTATTTCTGCTTGTTTCACAGCTGAATCTCTCAATTCAGGTGCTCATTTTTTAAACTTTTGGATTCCTCTTTCCTCTGTTTGCAGCTTAAGTGAACTTCCTTTGGCAATAAGGTGAATTCTCAAGGAAAGAGTCTGTAGAAATGCTGTAAGGGTCAAGGTCTAGGCTGGCATCATACTTACATGAAAAGGTTTGTGCTGTTGGAACTGGTGTGAGCTGACACAAACAGGAATTATAATATTCCTCCTCCTGGAGAGCAGGAGGACACTGGCAATAGGAACCTCCCTTCCTCTGTCTTTGCCACATACAAGACTTGGGTTATTGTTCATCCCTGCTCACTAGAGCTGAGACCCATGGCCATGTTAGCATTCCGATGCTGCTGCATAAAAGACTTAGAGAGGCACAATTATATGATTCTGTACTTCTGCCCTTCTCACATATTTTGTCAATAGGAAAGCATGGTATATGACACAAAAGATAAATGAAGATGATTCTTTATTATGTCAGATAATTAGGAATTTGTTTTTGAGTACTGATTTAAATTTTACTGGCTACTCAAAAATTCCAGCTACCTATTCTACCTGTTCCTTGCAGACCGGTTGCTGATAAAATAGTGCTGAACTTTTGTTTCAATGGTGATGAGAAATTCTGTCTTTTGGCAAAGGATACAAACAACAACTAATTCAAAAAAATCACACTAAGATACAGTACATGCAATACTGTGAGCAGTGTGAACTGTGAATCAAGTCCTAGCTTGTGGAACTGTGAAACAAATTTTTCCACACCGATTTTTGCCTTCCTACAGGGCTGAGACTGCAAAGATGCCTTTGGATATCTGCAAAGGCAAAGGTCTAATTCTCATCTCCATGCTAGAGGACCTGGCCTGACTACTGCTACTTACTTCAAAATTGCAAGAAATTAATTTAATCTCTTTCAATTTTCAATTATTTTAGGAAAAAATATTATGGAAAGAGCTTTTATTAGCCATTTATATCAGTCATAAATTACCATGTTTTGCCACTTTTATTTGGAAAATATCTCAAGATTATAAAAATTTTATGGTGGAAACAAGAAAAAAATTTTTTTTAATAGGGGAATGCAGTGGGTTTGCATTAGTACTTTCATTTATTACAATTCTTTAAACTACTGAGCATATCTCTTGGAAAAATTATATTAAAAAAAAGAAATAAGGCACCCAAAAGTTCTACTCCACTCAAAACTGATTTGAATATTTAAGTGAGAGAAAGTGAAACTGTATATAGACAGGTTTTTATGTGTCAATTTAAATAAAATATAGAGAACATATAAGAATAAATTTTATAACCTTAGAGACATTGATAAATAAGGAAAAACGAATTCCTTCTGATGAGGATTAAAATGTTCTTGAAGTCATGCCATATTCAGTGAATTCTGAAGACTGTATCGCCTTAGCCTTTCACATCATGCTGTTAAAGAAAACCTAGTGATGTGCTTGGGAAAGTGCTGGGGTACAGTGGACCCATCACATTATAGGGTTAGGTCCCACTACCAAACTTTCATACAGCTATACACAACCAAATTTGGCGCGTGGAAAACTGATTAAGTTACAAATTCGTTTCTCAATTAACCCTGTACTAATGCAATAACGCCCTGCATAACCTTTCCTGTTAAGGACTCGATGCAAACCCAACTGAGGAGCACAGCAAACCAGCCAGAAAACAATACTAAGGGTAGTTTTTAGCTACATGACAATCTGTGAACAGAACTTGGAGGAAAAGCAAAATCCACTGTAATGGACTGAGTCATTATTTTTAACAGCAGCATAACTCTTCTGTAACAACAGTAACATTGGTCTCAACTGGGGAAACACGGCAGGAGGTTCATGGAGTGCTCTTCCAGCATGCTGGGGAAATTATCCCTGGTGAATGCCCAAATGCATCTTCAAACATCAGAAATGCTGGTACTCAGCTCATGTGAAGCATGAGTTACAAATATATTATGAAGATGTATATGCTTAAAGCTGCAGGTATATGAAGTATGTCATCTGTATAGCCCAGAGGAGAAGAATTAAATTGTGCAATCCTTGTTAGAAGCTGAATAGATGCACTAACAATTGGAGCTGAAAGGGATAAAATGCCACAGCAAGCAGTGGCAAAGGAAACAAGGTTTGGCCTTTCCTGGGCCATTATTGTGCCCAGAATAACATTATGAATAGTGATATATAAACCAAATACTACAGGAGAAGCAGAGGCTACATCTTTCCACTTTAAAGGATTCTCATAGCTTTAAACCCTTCTTGGCTTCAGCTGACAGAGACTCCTGGGTGGCAGAAGTGCTGTTTCATTTGTCCCATGGAATCCCATTCAGGTTCTGCTGTCATATGAATAGCTGATATGATACCTTTCACTCACATACATTCCCCAGGAAATTGCAGCAGTCTGCTAGCCTGCCTAAAGCTTGTGGTGTGGAGACAGGTGTGGTGGCAGCTGCAGGCAGCACAGCTGCCCCATGACAGTCTAGGAGCTGCCAGATTACCTGTATGGAGTGCAGACCTCTTTGGGAATGGACTGATATGAGGCACTTCAATGCCACTTACCAGCTCATGGATACTTCAATGACACTGACCAAGCTTGATGGGAATGACTGAGAATCCTCCTAGCTGATGTCGTCGTGAAGCCTCTGTCGATTTTTGAATGGTCTTGGGGATCTGGAGAGGTCCCAGCTGACTGGAAGCTGGTTAACATTGTCCCAGTCTTCAAAATGGGCAAGAAGGATGACTGGCAGTGCCAGTCTCAATGTAGTGCGTGTTAAGGGGATTAAGAAAGTTATTCTGAGATGTGTTGAACAACACCTGAAAGACAGACAACAGAGTAATTGGTCAGCACAGCCAGCACAGCTTCATGAGGGACAAATCCTGCTTGTCAAACCTGATTTTCCTTTTATGACAAAGTATCCCACTGTCACGGTTACAGCTAGAGTAGAGTGAATTTTCATCACAGTGGCTGGTATAGGTTATATTTTGGAATTTTGCTGAATAGGGAGTTGATAATATAGAGGTTTTTCTATTATTACGAAGCAGAGCTTACACAGAGCCTTTCTGCTGTTCATACTGTGATACTGGTGAGGAAGTTGGTGGTACATAGGAAGGTGGGAGGAGGCACATCCAGGACAGGTGACCCAAACTGACCAAAGGGTCAGACCCTATGACATCATAGTTAGCATATAAAATATGGGGAAGAAAGAAAACAGCTATGTCTGGAGTGATGACCTTTATTTTCCCAAGTAACAGTAATGCTTGATGGGGCCCTGATCTCTTGGAGAAGGCTGAACACCTGCCTACCACTGTAAGAAGTGTAGGATTAATTCCCTATTTTGCTTTGTTTGTGTGTGTGGCTTTCGCTATTAAACCATCTTCATCTCAACTCATGTGTCTTGTGGCTGTTACACTTCCAGTTTTCTCCCCAATCCCACAGATGGGGAGGGAGACAGTGGATGCATGGGGATTGGTTACTGCCTGGGGTGAACCCATGACACTCACTATTTGATAAAAGGAAGCTAGTTGATATAATCCTTTCGGATTTCAGTAAAGCTTTTGATTATATCTCTCTCAGTATCATTCTGGAGAAAATGTGCAGCACACAGCTGGATAAACACATCACGGGGTGGGTGAGCAACTGGCTCACCGGTCAGGCATGAAGGGTGAAAGTGAATGGGGTGACATCAGACTGGTGACCTGTCACCAGTGGGGCTCCACAGGGCTCCATTCTTGGCCCTGTGCTCTTCAACATCTACATTAACAACCTGAATGCAGGACTGGAAGGGGAACTAAGTAAATTCACAAAGTATTTAAAACTGGGAGGAGCTGTTGAATCCCTCAAAGGCAGGGAGGCCCTGCAGAGAAACCCCAGCAAATCACAGGAATGGTCAATCACCAACCATACAAAGTTCAGCAAGGGAAAGTGCCAGATTCTGCACGTGGATGAAGCAACCCTGGATGGATGGACACACAGACTGGGGAATGAGATGCTGGAGAGCAGTGCCATGGAAAGGGAACTGGGAGTCCTGGTCAGTGGCCAGTTGAACATGAGCCAGCAGTGCCCTGGCAGCCAGGGGGGCCAAGCGTGTCCTGGGGGGCATCAAACCCAACATTGCCAAGCAGGCAAGGGAGGGGATTGTCCTGCTCTGCTCTGCACTGGGGCAGCCTCACCTCGAGCGCTGGGGCAGCTTTGGGTGCCACAATATAAGAAAGATATAAAGCTTTTAAAGAGCAGTGACAGAAGGGAAACAAAGATGGTGAAGGTCCTTGAGGAGAAGCTGCAGGAGTGGCTAAGGTCACTTTGGCTGAGGTTCAACCTAGTGAACAGGAGACTAAAGGGACACAGTCTGGAACTTCCCTGATAGGGGAAGTGGAGGGGAGGACACTGATCTCTTCTCTCTGGTGACCAATGACAGGAGCAGAGAAAATGGCTTGAATTTGTATCGGGGAAGGTTTAGATTGGATTTTAGGAAAAGGTTCTTCACCCAGGGTGTGGTTGTGCACTGGAACAAGCTCCCCAGGGAAGTGGTCACAGCATCAAGCTTGACAGAGTTTAAGAAGCCTTTGGACAGTACTTTCCTGTATGATTTGATTGTGGTTGTCCTCTGTAGGGCCAGAAGACAGATGATTCTAGCAGGTCCGCTCCAACTCAGAATATTTTCCAATTTTGTGCTTCTGTGATTTCACACATCACAGCTTTCAAATGCTTAGCTGATCACCGTGTCTTTTGCAAGACTAAACTAGGGAAAATTCTAATTAATATATGTATTTTAACTCACCCATATTCAGATACACATAGATGTAAATAGGGTGGTCTTAGACAAATCTGCCATGCAAAGCCATGGAAACAGATTATTCAGTTGACTGGAGGAGTTTATAAGGTAGCTTAACATTAATGAACAGCAATGATATGATTTTATTACAGCATGAGCACTGCATGATGGGGAGATGTACGGAAAGCAGCTGATTCACATAGGCCTAGTGCTGTAGTTTCTGCTGAAGTAAAATTTTCACTAATGCTTCCAAAGCCAGAGGAGGCATCAACCTATTACTACTTAGCATTAGCACAGCTTTCAGGAACAGGACTAGGCCATTAGACAGCACTTTTCATCCCATGAAATCCCATGCTGTTTTCCAAATTACATCAATTTGCAGGTAGATAGATAAAACTTTATCCATGACAAACCTGGTGAACTACAGGGTAAAATGCAGCCTGCACACCAGTTTAGAAGGGCAGCACTTATCCTGGATCAAACTGTCTGCTGAGGACTGTGGAGTTTAATAACTAATTTCTACAAAAAGTATAAGAGCAGAGCTGTAGGGAACATAGGCATCATCTACTTTTATCCTAAGTCCAGACATGGCATCACCACACAATGTTGTTCACCCTTTCTGCTCCAGATCAGTCATAGGAGGTTGGGTTTTTCTCTAGGTTTTGTCATCCAGGTAGGAGAGATATGGTGTTTGTGAGGTCTGACATGATATCAACCCAAAGTGACTTTGCAGTGAAAGAGAATTCCTATGCAGACACTCTATGTGCACTCAGGGCAAGATCATGATAAACTCTTGCAATTAACATTTTATATAGGAAAGAGTTTTAATGAAATGAAGAACAAAACCAGTGACATTAAGGAGCTTTTTAATATGGGCAAGAATATCACCACTGGGCTTTAACATCACTTGTGTTAGATACAAAGAATATAGTGAATGATAAACAGAAAAAAATACTGGGATCATATTCACTGTAAGCTGCAAATAGTATCTTTCCTGCCTAAGTTTGCTTATAGCACATCTGATGGACTCTATGAATAGAACTCCAGTTCTGAGCTGGGGCCGTATATATTTCTGGGTTACTGAAAAACCTTAAACCTGGGTCCACTATGAAAATACTGAGAGGTACTTCACCATGGCAGCCTTGGCTGTTCAAAGCGAAATGCAGAATCACAAAGCATTACATTTTAAATGCTCCTACTGACAAATACATGCCTACAGCATTTGGATACAGCAATGAATTTTTTGAATTTTCTCATTATCTACTGAGAGATTTCTGGTGTGACAAGGGTGATTATAGAAGGAATTAAAAATAGATAGCATTCAAGACCATGAAAAGGAAGGCTTGATGGCCATTAACTACTAATAAAAAAAGTTCTACAGGGGTGTGATATAGCCAACAACTTGTATTTTAACATACCGATAATGAATCCCAGCATAGCCATTAAAATCAAAGTCAGTATGCTTTCTTTGTCCCTATGGAAATTTAAGTCAATATTACTGGTACTATCTTTACTATACCTATATGTATATCTATGAATATGTATTTCTAAATTACAAGATACCATTGCATTGTTTTACTTTCATTTAATTCAGTTTTGTAGCACAGTGATGTGCATCTCTATTTTCCAATCAATTTATTCTGTTACTATTTTTCATAATATTAAATCTCTACATTAAGTCAATAATGTTGATTACTTACCATAAGCACTGTGAACACCATTCTAATACAGGTTATTTGCAGTTTGACATCCTCCTCTATATGCATTATTCCACTTGGAAAATTGAATAAAACACTTGATTCAGAATCTGAAACACTTAGAAGTAATGATCCTGTTTACTGATTTACTGAAGTTGTAGGTTTTAGAAGAACAAAATTACTATCAGGGAAAAGGAAGCATCGAAGTTGATTTAAGAAGCATTTAAACTATATGAATAATAGCAATTTGTTGTGATTTTTATTGTTTTAGATCTCTGAGGCAGTTACCTAACACTGTTAACCTTATTAGTGCTTCAGTTTTCTTGCAATTGAGAATATGAGTCTAAAAAACTCAATGTAAGAGAAAATGTAACACCTAAATTATCAGAATCCCATTTCAGTATTATTTTCTTATTGTTGTGCAGCTGATAATGTCTATATTTTATTTAGAATTATTAAAATAAATTAGAAATGTAACTGAAAGTGCTTGACTCCTATATGAACCATATGCCCAAAGAAAAGTAAGACATTACTTTATAGCCTTTCACTGGTATTGGTGCCTTTCATAACAGCAGTAGTGTGGTGACTGAGCACCATGAGCATCTGAAAGAGAGTTTGACATGATGTATGTGCCCAAACAGGGCTCTGCTGAGACCCACTTCAAAGAGAGGGATGAACTCACAGTGGCTGTAAAGGTATGAGGATAGAACTACCTGGAGGCACTAATTTGGCTCATAAATAAAAGGTTTAGTTCTAATTTCAGAGGTAGCACAAAATAGGTATTACATTGTGTTTTGGGTGACAGTGTGAAGACAGGCTGTCAACAAAACAAAGTGAATTTTGCTGTTACTCAGTAAATGCTAATGAATAAAACTGAAACAAATGCGGATTTTGGTGGGCAGATGATTTGGTTTTTTTTGTTTTGTTTCCCACTTCCACTAGAATTGAATTTGAAGTCTTGGTGAATGTGGTGCCTTTAAGTGATGCATCTCAATTCAGATGATATTATTTAAAATTCAAATTTATAAGCATAAATTAGGGAAAATTCATTCTCACATATCCACAACATTTCAAAGATTTTCTCAGCCATTACTACACTGCAGATACTCAGTTTACTTTCTGATCTAAGCCTTTCACTTGAGATTTTAAACATACTATTTATCTCAGAAACATCATGAATTTAGGACTCATTAGCATATAATTAGAATAAATCTGAGGAAAACAATTGAGAGAATTAGAAATATATTGCATACTAGCTTTATACAGTTTAATAAGCAGATGCTGAAAGCTCATTTGATGCCATATTTTTATTCAGAATTATTTTAGGGATTATCTAAGAGCTGTACTGTGGATTATAGAAAAGAGTAATTTCAGCTTAATTTAGCCCTATGAACATGTGAAAGTGTTTCAGGCAGGTGAAATATACCAAGAGATGTCTTAAGCTACCACTCCAGGGACTATGAATAAAAAAAAAAGTCAGTTGCCAAGTGCAGTTGGCATTTTACTAAGTCTGGATATAATTGTACTAGAAATCTTAAGGATACTTTGAAGCAGTCTTAAGAGAAGCTATAGCCTATTGGAATTCCTTTTAAGTGCAAACTTCACTGCAATTTATTTTAGCTCAAATATTCTTGTGACATAAGATTATATATAGTCTTGCTCTGAATACGTATATTCATATCAACAACTGAAACTGTTGAAAGCAAAGTATCCTTGCTTCTGCGTCAGCTGATGTACTGTCTGGTTCATGTCTTGCAATTGGAAAATAGTCATGAAAGCCAGACCAATTTTTTTTGATGCACAGACACTAAGCTGTTGGTCCATTTGAGCAGTCTGCCCATCTGCTTATCTGTTTTTGCTGTTTCTGTTTGACTTTAGCAGCTCTGTTCTGTGGTTTCTCTCTCATTTTCTGTACACTGATCCTAACCCATGCAAAACAGTCAGCCCCAGGACTTGCATTAATGCTTCACAGAACATATTTATGCCCCAAGAACATATTTATGGGTAATGAGGAATACAGTAAGGTGCTGCCAGAGCATGCAGATTGTCTCTTCTCTCTCAGTTACCTTCCACAAAATAAGGAAAAAACATGGATCTTTTATTACTTTCCAGAAATAAACCCAGTGTCTACTATCACCCTCTTTTTTTTTTTTTTTTTTTTTTTTCCACTTTTTTTTTTTTTTTTTTTTTTTTTTTTTTTTTTCAGTAGATAACACCACTCTTTATGAAGTTGCAGTCAAGGATCCCTTCCTAATGTTGAAGAGTCTGTCACTTAGCAATCATTGTACTTGAGGAGACTGATTTTCATTCTATCACCAACTTCTTTATTCTAAGACACACTATCTGAATCAGTTCTAATGATCCTCTTTTATTGACTGTTGGTCTTTCAGTGCCTATCAGTGGTGTAAAGCCAGATGCCATCAAGTGACAATTTTTTGTCAGATGCTTAACAGAAACTATCCAGGTTTACTGTTTATAAATGAAGTGTTTGTTAAATTAAAGTATGCAACTATACACTCCACTTATTCCACATGCCTTAGAGAGATTAACACACTGAATTATGAAGTCAAACCTTAAAATAGAAGAAGCCTATAAAGACTAAGTAATTTTCTTCTTTTTAAGCAATTAGTTGCACTACACTGCTAAGTGAGATCTGTCATAACTGGGGGATTGAGAGAGGGCAATAAACAAATAACTACTGTTTTCTCTGAACCCTCTTGGTCTACAGACTGACTGTAATTTAATACAGCAGCGCAGTAGATTGTAAATGATCCATTAGACTTGTCACTACCCCCTTGAAAAGGATTTACTTTACAATAAGGGTACAAGAAGGGAAATCTGCCTAGTTGTTTCAGATGAAATTCAGGGACATTTGTAGCTGATTCATGATCATCATAGCTGTACTATCTATGTCTTGATGATGGTCAAGTGGTTTAGAGGTTTTATTTGGCAAGCAAAAACATTTACCTTTTTTAGCTTAACTGTGTGGCACCTCCATGTGTCCTCTCCATGTTTCAGTACCTATTGTGAAATTCACTGCAAAAAATAATGAGAAGAGACCAATGGACTTAGCCGTTCAACAGAAAGGTGAACTATGTGGCTAGTTACAGTACTTGAAAAATTATTTATTTTCCTTAACGAAACCTGAAGCTTTGAGGATCTTCAAAATGAACACTTCAGTATACCTTAGAAGCAATCAGGACTGCCTCATTGTGTGGCCACAGTCGGTATACAAGCCACAATAGATAGGATTAACAGAAATGAAAGGATCTACAATCCATCCAGCAGAGTTAACTGCAGCCTCTGATGTCTTTCCCTCCTTCCTCCCTTCCTTCCCCCCACTTTTTATTGTTACTTTTATTTTTGGTTTTGTTTTTGTCTTGTTTTGCTTTATGTTGTTTCCCTCACCTATGCTGGGTAGTAAGGAACAGAATTACAATTATGGCAGCAGGATAATAGCCCTTGTGCTAGTATACTAGGATATCTTCATACTGCAATGAAATATAATCATGCACAAAAATAGTTTTTTAAATGAAAGAAACTTTATTATTTGCCTATCTACTATCCCAGTTCATGAGCTACAGAATAGAGGAATTAATGTTTTGGTTCTTTTCTAAATTCCCTCGCTCAATTAATGAAAGATGTTAAAGAGACTCTTTAGTTTTCAGTTTTTAAATTTCATTTGTATATCTAGACAGCTGATACAGCCCCAGATCATGTCAATCCCAGTGTGCTAGGCATAAAGTAAGAACTATAAAGAAGTATAGAATTTCTGGCCAGGTGAGCTTAAAGACAAAAAACTAAAAGACAAAGTAGCAATATCATAAGTCACAAAGCTTTTGCATTAAATAAATAACGAGAAGCACTATAATGAGAAGCACTATAAACACTGCAATATTTTAAACACTGTAGTATATTACAGTTTTTCAGTTAAAGTTTCCAGAATGTCTCCAGCAAACATAATGCTAAACCCTCCCTCCCCTTAGAAAACCCAAACTTTCTTTCAATAAAGGGTAGGAATCTTACCTCGACTGTGGGTTTCCTCTGTGTTTGTGTATCCTTAAAGAAACCACTAAAAATAAAATAGAATACCAAGTAACAAAAAAGTTTAGTCTCCACAAACACTGCCACAATGCCCAGGAAGAAGTCAAATAAGGGAAAAAGAAATATGACATCAGAGGTTATAAAGGAAAAAAAAAATCTGCAAATGCATTTGCATAGTTGGTTTCTTTCTTTCTGGAGTCTGCCAAAATTTCTTCATTGTCAGAATTTATAGAGATCCAGAGTGACATAGCTATAAAAAGTGCTGCTACAGAAGAGAACTATAGTAATATGTTACTAGCATTTATTTTTCTGCTTTGTCTAAAACTCATAAAAATTACCTTGTCCTAGAAGTCATATGGCTGTTTGGATCATCATTAACTGACCCTTAAAATTCTAGATTTTGGTAAGCCAGAGCATAGTCCATGAAATCAGAGAAGCCAATGATGGAAAGATATCATGCATTGTTGTAACCCAAACCAGGAAAAGACCCATACAGTTTGCAGAAGAAAAATATATGCCTTTCCTGATTTTGAGTTCTACCTGTCATCTATAATTTCCTGGCTGGTAGACCACATACAGTAATAGATAAGCAAGAGTAAGAAAGAAAAAAAATGCATTTCAAAGTGTTCATTTTGTCTATTTTTCTCACTGTTTGCTTAATAACAGTTGCAAAAAGTGACTAGGTTACAAAGACTTAGTGATGAAAAACTCAATGCTCCCTCTACTCCACTCCATCTACCCTCCAAAAATATAATGATATCTTCATGCTAAATCTAACTACTTTTAATAATAATAAAAACCTTGTGGCACTGCAATCTTTGTTCAATACAATATCAGTAGAGAAAGGAAAGAATCCTGAGGCAATATTTTCACAAACATTAAAGACATATATGTGGGGCATGATATCCTATTAACAGACATCATATGCCTCCTCTGGAGATATTAATTCCTAATCTCATCAGGGAAATGTGTACTTGTGTATTCTGTGTGTCTGTGTTCATTGGTAGTGTTTTAAAAATTGTCTCTAGATGAGAGGTTATATACATCTGAAAAGAAACACTGCTTTTGGTATTAAACTTAACATCAAAAAAATCTGCTTGTTCCAAAATTTAGTATATTTTCTATATCATGAAGTAGCAGCAATTTGTGAGCAATGAGAAGCAGCATATAAAGTGCTGGGCTTAGTCTTGATCCCTACTCTAGTGAATCTCAAACTGAAGATAATGAGATTTTTCCAATTAACAAATTTAGCACTGTGAATACTTACAGACTTGGTGAATATATTTTGATTGAAAACAGGTATTTGAGCATAAAAATTTTATTATTTTTATTAATAAATATAAAGATCTTTGTTACTGTGCCTGGCAACTGGCAATCCTTATTAAAATTGATGCAAACTAGAAGCACAGTTCTACCTTCAAAAGCTGATTATTGTAAGATTTTTCCTCAATGAACACTTTAGCAGGTTTCTACTGTGAGCTTAACATTTCTAAATTATGCAGACAAATATAAGCAATTTCTTGTGAGGTCTTTTTATTTCATTGGGTAAGAAAATTAAAACTAATGGGAATTTAAAATGAATCAGGTAATGTTAATATAAAAATTCTTTCACAGAGGATTTATAACCATTTTTTACGAATGTCTTACAGTGGAATGACTTGATCTTCATTTCCTTACAGACTTCTTTTAACTTTTGTACATGAAAACTGACACTTTGATCTGATTCAGAATTTTGTAGTAAATTGCTATAGTTCTTGACAATAAATTTTCCACTATATTCACTCTTCACTGATTTTTTTATTGTAATCTGAGACACTTAAGGACAGTGAAAATTTGGAACTTTAGGATCTTTCATAACAGAATTTACTGAATGTGGGTATTTTAGAGCTGTGTCAGGAAAAGGACTTTTTGGTGATCTAAGCATTAACTGTCAGGGTAGAAATTGTTTGCTTTGTATGTTATGGTTGTGAATTCTAAGATGAGGAAATAGATGTGCAAAGAATAGAAGCCCTGATGATTTTATAAAATCCTGAAGAACTACTAAATACATTTATGTATCCACACAAGTAGTCCTGCCAGTTTTGTAAGCAGCAGGAAATCCTATGAGGTGATAACACCTCTCACATGATAACAAACCTCAGATGCCTGAGGGTTTGTCAAATCCATGTGAGGAACTTGTGAACTGTCAGTGAGGTGTTGTAGAGTTTGAAAATTTTGGCTAGACCTTAAACAAAATCTGGAGTTCCTGTGGCACCTGAAAGCTACCAGGACTTTTGAATTGTTCATAGCATTAATACTTCTCCAAGAGAAACGTAGTTAGCCTTCTCAAAATAGCAAGGTGCTCTCTAATGACACACAGATGTTTGTAGAAGTGGGTTAGGATATGAAGAATCACCAAATTACAGAGTATCAGGCTGTTAAAGATGAAAAAGTTTTAAAAGTTTAATTATTGCAATTATTATTCCAGTTCTCCAGACAAACTTAATTGCACACATTGGCAAGCAAAATGTCTACAATTTTAAATTAATGAATACTCTGGAAATAAAATGTGCTCCTCTCAAGAAGTATAAGTGAAGATAATGTGTTCTCAGGAGCAACTTGGTTGAAAATTAGTCCAGCTGTGGTTTATCAGTAATATAAACAACCTGGAAAAAAGTAGTCGTTTGCATCAGTGAATTGGTTAAAAAACATATTGGATATTTTGCTACATGAGGGCCTTTAAAAATTGCTCAAAAATATTTATATCTTCAGCTAATATGAAGCACTTTATAAGCTACTCAGTTTCTGTTTCTGTGAACCAAAGTTCAAGCTTTTTCTTTGCCTTCATCCCTGCTAGTAGAAAACACATGTATTTCAGTCAGTAAACAAGACATGAGAACAGGGAGAAAAAGCCATCACTTTCTGTGGGTACACTATTGAGTGACTTAAAGGGGATGAGTCCTCACACAAGGGTTCTCTCCTTCCATAACTGTTTCTGCTTCTGATATAATCAGCTGTATCACCTTCAGATCTCTGGTACCTATTAAATTCCATTTTCCAGTGTGCTGGTTTCAACCCATTACACACAGGCTCCAGGGAAAAAAAAAATCATTCAAATATTAGTTATGGTGTAATGTCCCCTCTTGAAGGTATCAGCATGTAATAAATAGAAACCTACCTTTTTGTTACTGAGCTGTTAAATATTTGACTTTCACTGGTAGGAAGGTAAAACATGAGTGTACAGAAAAGTTTTGGCACAAATGGAAATTAAATTTAAATAAACACTTTTCAATCTCCTCAGGTGCTAGATCATGCTTAACATCGGCTATACTTTAAAGTACATCATATTAAAGGTACAGTTTTGGCTTTCATCCGTTTGTATGTCACCTTAGAACATCAGTTTAGGGAAAATAGCATGTTGAATGCTGTGTGTGAAGAGCAGAGCACTTTGTAAACATCTGCCATTTCTTCTAATATGGATGAATACATAATATTTCCAAGTACACAAATCACATTTTAGATTTAGATCTCATTTAGATAATAAATAAGAATGCAGAAAATGTTCCAGAGGGCAAGCAAACACTTCAAGCATAAAATTGAAAGAAATTTTGAGAACTGTTTCCTTGTTGGTTTCTTTAGTGTGTTTTAAACCTAAGAGATGGTTATTGCAAAAAACAATGTTGTTCTCAGTCTGTGTGTATGTAAAGCTGGAGACTGATGGAAACCAGAAGAACATGTTAAGATTAAATTCTCAAGCAAGTAGTGACAAACTCCTTGTCCTTGAAGCTTGTATAAATAACTTTCCTGTGTTTTTTTAACCTGTTTCCCCTGCTCTCCAGCCAGCCCAGCAGCGAGGCATGTCACTCTGATGGTTCACATCCATCTCCTTTTATTGATGTCCACTTTGGTATCTGTACAGGTCATCAATATTGTTGCCTCTCTGGCAGCCGCTGGGAATGGCAGGGCAGCCTTGCGGGACTTGGCATGTGGGGGGAGGCTCCGCTCGCTGCTGAACTCACGGTTCCAGCCAGATGCTGGTACCAGGCTGCCATAAATCATTTAGGTGACCCAGGTGAACTCTGAGGCTCAAAGCTCACTGAAAACTGATCAGGCCTCTGTTTAGTTTAACAGGCCCTTTTCAGTGACAAGTGAAGGGTTCAACAAATGCTCAAACCAGATATATATTAGTTGAAAAACTAATGGCTTTTAAAAGAATGTTTGACAATTGTTTAGGGCTGTCTGTAGATCCATTATACTGATAAATGACCAACTTGGTCTATGCCAAACTGGAAATGGCCAGCCAAAAGCAACTTTGGTTATCATTTTTTTCCTTCTCTGGCTCCCTATGCACTCTCCATGTCTTTGGGGGCTTAGTAAGGGCCTCATGTGCTGTGATGGTCAGGAAGACTTACGGCACCAAAGGATACCTGTGTGGCTTATAGTTAACCCTGTAATCAAACTGAAATTAAGCAAGACTGCAGATACCCCCAGTGACCTGCTATTCACCGCCTGAACTTCTAAGTTAGGGTCAGTTGGGGCCCAGAGTAGGAGGTCAAAAGCTGGTCAGTGCTCTTCAGCTTCAGCATGTTGAATAGAGAGACTTTATTGCTGTGATTTATGCAATTTGCACAGACAGGTTAAGGAGATCTTAAAACACGCCACAGTGCTCACTTACACTGGTTACAGCATCCACTGGGAAAATAAATTCTGGTTGTCTATATGAAATCTCTTGTGGATATGCCTTGAAGTATTTTACTCCCTATACTATAAAGATTCATACCCATACTAAACCCCTGAACATGGCACATGGAAAGGTTAATGCTTTAGTGTTTCAAGATTTATTTAAACAGTGTGAACAGAACAAATTAAGCATTTTACAAAGCTGATTAATTGGAAAGGCAGAATAACAAAATAATTAGTAGTTTAGTTTTTTTGTTACTTTTTTTTTTTTGTGGCATGGAAAGCAGGAAAGGCACAGATAAACTTAAAATTAGAGTGGCAATTTGAACACAGTGAAGTCTGATTTTTAAGTAGTCCACAGACAACAAT